GGACCGACGTCGCCTGATAGCCACGCGAGCGCTCAGCATTATCCGCGCTGCGGCGCGCCAGATCCCCCAGCAAATGCAAGCGAACGTCTTTGACGCGCCGCGTACCGCACATGACTTGAGATAATCCACCCTCGTCTTTCTCGGAGCTCTCCAAGGGCTTCCTCGAGTCCGAACAGGGCCAGACACATGCCGGAATACTGCGGCCCTCGATCATCAGGCCTCGAGTGTCGGCGATGCTGTTCGAGGGCGGTGTTGGCCGCTGTCATGTTTGATGCTGGGCTGCGCTGCGGGGGGCGGGAAGGCGACGCTGCTGCGTGCCGCCCGCAAAGGTTTGCGAGGGGAGTCGCGGGGGGGGGGCGCCCCCGCTCCACCTTCGCTCGGAGGGGAGGAGCCAGCGGGGGCCCTGGCGTCTGATGTCAAGGGGATTCCGGCCGACTGGTTTCGGGACCTCTTGTCCCGACCTTCCGAAGGCAGGCAGCTGGCTGGAGTCGTCCATCCAATCGGCGGCCCGTATGAACGGGCACGCAATGTCGCAAGCACGCTGAAAATCGCGTTAGATTCGAATCGGCTGGTGTCAAAGGTCGTCCGTCCAGCCAACGCTCAACTAGTACTGACACGCAGGGTTCTCAAATCTCGTGACGGCCGCGCAGGTGGAGCTGGCGTCGGTCTTCCTCGCTGCGAACATGAAGTATTACGGCGCCCTCTGGATGGCAAGCGCCGCCACGGGCTCCGAACCGTTTCCTAATATGGAGGTAGGCACATAGGCTTGGCAAAATCACCCCGTTCATTCACATCACACGCAAACAACCCTGTCTTCGCGTCCGTATCCATCATCTGGTCGACTCGTTTCATGCCCTGTTGGCCTGACGCCCCCAAGGCGAACTTTATGTAGAGGTCGTACGTCTGGTCTGCGTTTTGCATGAACAGAAATTCTGGCAAGGGTTTCTTCATGTGACCGGGGGTATCACAAGTGTTGGTCATGAGTCATGATCGTCTTTGCAAGCTCACTGTCCACAGGCGTGCGGGTCGATGGCGTTGCTGGTGGCCCCCGCCCAACAAGTGGGTATCGCCCCTCGTGCGAATCGGCAAAATCTCGACCCTGTTCCAAACGGCCTGGGCAACTTGTGAGCGACGTCGTCACGAATCCATAAAAATTCGTGTTGCTGAACAGGCGCAACACCTTTGGCATGAGCGTCATGCTGTGCGTCCTTATACGAAGATCTACATGTCGCTACGCGGGTGCAGCGCGAGGCACGACGTCGGCACCTTTTGGCTGCAACCCGACCACACACAGCCGTTCTCGCGAAACCCCGGACACGCCATTGAGCGAACCTGGTCCGGTATCGCAGCCAGCAGTTCAGGCTAGCCGTTGTGCCGCGGCCAGGGCGCAAAAGAGTGGCTGCGGCTCGAACCTCAGGGGGAGGGGGCGAGGAGGATCGGGAGGAGGAGGAAGAGGTGGAGGAGGAGGAGGAGGAGGAGGAGGAACGTGTGGCAGACAGGTAGTTCGACCACGGCCACCTCGGCAAGCCATTTCGGAGGGGCGGAGTCTGCCTGCTCGTCGAAGAAACCAGCGCGTGGACAGGGAATAAGCAAGCGGAGGGGATGCGGGGGGAAGGGATAACGAAACAAGTGATGACAAGGAGGAAAGGGCGGATGAAGGGGGCGAGGGGAGTATCGGCGCAGCCCCCACTCATGCCCCTGCTGTCAAAGCATTGCCAAGAGAAACCTTGGAACAGGAACGAAACTCCTTTGGGGCCTCACCTGCCCCCATGTGCTCGAGTAGCCCCATTTCGAACCCAGAGTGGACCGTATCCCCCCCCCCCCGAAAGAAAACCTTGGCAGCGCGGAGGGAAACAAAAAGAGGAATGGGATAACGAGGGGGGCGAGTAGTCGGCAGGGGAGCAAGAGGACTGGGGAACGTCCGCACCTCCCTCTCGGTCTGGCCCCTTCTCCGAGGTGGAAGCGTGAGGGCGAGGGAGAGGAGGGAAGCACATGAACGGCGGATACACGAGGATGACTGAACACGTCGACGAGCAGCGGTTAGCGAGGAAGAAGGAGCTGATACGTGGCGGAGGGGGCGACAAGCCCAAGCCGACGGTTTGAGAGCAAACGGTGGAGAGAGGGAGACCAAACCACCCGCAGAAGGCATCTATGCACCACCACCCCATGGCCAGGACCATCCTGGGCCTTTGCATGGTGCGTACGCCCTCCTGGCCGACGCAAGGAAGGTCTTTGCAGCCTATGCACCACCCTAGGCCCCAGGATGGACTAGGCTGGGCATGGTGGTGGCGTGTGGATCCGTTCCGCGGAAGCCACTGCAGCGGCAAGCTGCAGGCTTGCTCGAGGCTGCCACCGACGGCTCAATGAGACGACCTACCGGCTCGCAGTGACAAGGGGCGCGGCCCAGAAACTCAGCGCCCCCCCTGCGTGAGGGGGCCTTGGCCACGGTCACCGCGCCGTCGCGGGAGGCCTCGGTGGCTGCCAGGCGCCGGGCGAATCCTCGCCGTCATCGTCGTAGTGGTCGTCATCCTCCCGTCCTTGCGCTCCTCCATCACCGCCTTCTCCGCCACGACCCCCGCCTCATCCCCCGCCTCATCCTCCTGTTCCTCGGTCTGGTCGGCCTTCCCCTCCTCCGAAGTCCTTCTGTAGCCTCACAAACTATTGGAGCCCCGTGGGTCACACCGAAAGTCGTTGAAAACCTGGGCCTCAATCGCCCCCGGAACCAAAGTTGTCGTCGTCCTTTCGGTCTGTCATTTTCGGGGCTCGGGTCAGCGGTGTGAATGGCTGCGGCTCTAGCCGCTCGTGCTCCCGTTGCTGCGTGTACTGCTTGCCCTCCGCCCTTCTCTCCAGTTTGCCAAGCCCGTTTACACCGCTCACAGGTACCACGCTCCCCAGGACAGGTCTCCTGGCCCCCCCCCAGCACGAAACCGGCAGCCCCGCTGTGGGCGGGTCGCTGAGAAGTGGGCAAATCGGCCAGAGCGGCGTGGCAGCCGTTGCGCGGGCTGCCTCCGTCTCCTCCTCCTCGTCCTCTTCTTCCTCCTCCTCTTCCTCCTCTTCCTGTCCCTCCTACTCTCCCTGAGGACGAGAATAATCTATTGAAACAATGTGCTATTGATACGTTCCGGAGATTCCGGGATTTCTAACAGCCTTCGCGCGGGATGCACTTTGCGTCGAGTATTGTCTACTCTGGCTGGCGTCGCTGGTCGGTCATCCATTCGCAATCGAGTGGTCGCTCGTACGGGGCTACTTGGCAGTTGCTGACCCCCCTTTTCGTTGCCGAGCGCGGGGGGGACGGCGGCGCACCGTCCCATCGCCCGCCGCCGCGCACCGCGCGCCTCGGCGGATTCCCAAAGACCTGGCAAGGCAAATCATGCGCGACTCTGGAAAATTCTCCGGGGGTAAACTTGGACAAATCCGGGAACATTTTTGAACATGTCTGGCGTACTTTTCGAAAAATGTCAGAACCGTTTTTTGAACATTTCCGGGATTGACTTTGAAAAATTCCGGAATCCATTTTGAAAAATTCTGGATTTCAGAATTCTTCAGATGTCCTGCGCGGCGGGCGCATTCCCCCCCTCAAAACTATTTGTTTTGAAAATGTCTGGGCTACTTTTTGAAAAATTCCGGAAACGCTTGCGCGAAAAAAAAACGGAAACATTTGCTGACACATTCTATAATCAGGGACTAATGTCCGGGCGGTCCGACGGGCGCGGCCGGCTGATGCACGCGCCGCGCCGCGCGCGATTGGGCGCAGCGCGCGCCGCGTGTTGCGCCCGCGAACAGCACTCGAAGGGGCTACCTCGAAAACAGCGCCACGGCAGCTGCGACTCGCGGACCCCCCAAGAGCAACACAGCATGCAGCTTGGAATCTTCGAGGGCGCTCCGATGCGCGAAAAAAACACCGCGAACATCACGCGAAGAGCCTGCGCGACGGAACGCGCTCGACCATTCGTCCCTGAAGCCCGCGCGGAAGAACAGGAAAACCTGAAAAAATGGAAAACTATCAATATCAATACTTCATGCTCCTCTGATCCCTCTCATCCTCCTCTTGCTTCTCCTCCTCCTCCTTACCTTCCTCCTTCTCCCACTCATCCCCCTCTCCGTTTCCGCCTCCTCTTCCTCCTCCTCCTCCTCCTCCTCTTCTCCTCCTCTTCATCCTCCTCCTCCTCTTCTTTCTTCTTCTTCCTCAGGCAAGAGAGTCGATGCCTACACTCGGGGATAGGGCGAGAAAGAGCAGGACGGAGACGGCGGCGACGAGGATCCCCCACACCACTATCCACGCAGAGAGGGTAACCCTAAGCCCGCACACCCCCTAAGAGGGGAGACGCAGAAGATGATAATAGAAGAAAAGGAGGAGGGCCACCAGGGAGGGATCTTGGGCTAAGGGCGCCCTAGACGACACTGGCCCACGAGGGCCGACCGCGGGCCAGGCACCCAGATATTCGAGCCGAGACCAGCAGCCACATCCATCCACAGGGTTCCAGCACGTCACGGGCTCACGCTGTACCTCACGCAGGTGAATACAGAAGGCTACTTGCAAGGTCGTTATGCAACATGCGGCGCACTCTCATGCCGCCTCACTGCTGGACTGGGTTTCACGCTGCTCGAAGTGCTCAGTTGGCCCGGGTCTTTCTAGCTGACCGAAATGTTCCAAGTGCCAGCTTGGTGATGCACAGGAAGAAACCCAAGATCTTGAATCTCGCGAACAAAGATGCCGAGCGTTTCATGGAGAACGCTGAGCGATGATACGGGAAGTTGCGCTCCTTCAGCGGCTGCGCGCCTCCTCCTCCTCCTCCCTCCTCCTCCTCCTCCTCCTCCTCCTCTTCCTCGTCCCTCCTCCTCCTCCACCTCCTCCTCCTCCTGCTCCTCCTCCTTCTCCTCCTCCTTCTCCTCCTTCTCCACCCCCTCCTCCTCCTCCTCCTCCTCCTCCTCCTCCTCCTCCTCCTCCTCCTCCTCCTCGTGGTCTTTGCTGCCGGGGCGCAGACTGCGGCAGGTGGGTC